GAGCAAATAAATTTAAAATAGGAAAGCAAAATAAAAATGAAGTACTCATAAGCCTTACATAGCTGCTCAGGTGTTATTTTCTCAGTGAGCCCTTCTCTGATAACTGATAACTCAATCCAATTTTTCTACTTTTCTCCATGGCATTTTTTGAATGTTTTATTACCTTTAAGTACATGTACAAAGGAGTTGCCATTCACCAAAGCCGTTTATGAATACGGTACATCTAGATCAATGTCACCCTTTCAACCTTCTCACCCACTCTTCCCAATCCACTCTCTTTCCCTCCCATTTCTAAATTTTAGGTTATGCACTGAATTTCTGCCATTTAACAAAGGAGTTTATGTATACACTACCTCTTAATCTGTATCATCACTTCAACATCTTCACCCACCCACTCCCATGTATTTCTCAATTCAGTGATACATACAATTAATTCTCTCCTCCCGCCTTATCCCCTCTTTCTTCTACCCAGCTCCTTATGGCCACATCCTCCCTTCTGCAAGTACCCATTACTGGTACTTATTGTGCTGGGCTTTGACTCCAAGGCATTTTTAATTAGTTTTTTATTGTAAAAATACTGTACAGAGGGGTTACAGTTACAAGAGCAAGGTAATGAGTACATTTCCTATCAAGCATTGTTGTCCATGGCATTTTTAAACACCTAACTTCCTGCCTGCCATCCTCTTTCTTCTGTTAATCTCTTCATGTAGTTCTTCAGCTATTTACTGAATATCATCTGATACCTAAACTCTAAGGAATAGGAATATTTGTTTTGTTCACTGTTGAATTACATATCATTAAATGAGTACTTAATATGAAGAGGCTCTCTAATTTGTCAATCAGTTAAATAGATGAATCCTATCTTTTTACCAAGATTTCACAGATTTACAAAATATACAATATTACTAATAATAATTGATGTATCAAAATGAACTCAATTCTTTTTCTTCTTTCCATTTAGGATTCTTTAAAGTTTCATTATTAATGTTTTTTGAGATATCATTGATGCTTAAATGTGGATAATCCGAAAAAGTAGAATGTTGGGGTCAAGTAACATGTATATTTGAAACATTCTGTAAATTTAGCCTCAAGAAAATTTGACAGAAATTTGTACTTTAACCTTGATTGAATGAAGGTCCCCAATTTTCCCCTCTATTTGCTTTTGAAATTTACTGAACATTTTCTCTCTACATGTCTAAAAAAGAACAATATAGGGGATGTGTAAGTACTTTTCCACTTAATAATTTCACTTTACCTGAGTTGGATCATTCACAATATCATTTACATATCCATGAATAAAAGTTGGTGTAATAAAAGGAGATTGCTTTATAATGTGATACACTTCATTTAATCATTTCTTCATTAAATGATTCTAATGTGTTCTTATTGGTTACACAACATTTAATAGTATACAGCATACTGATTGCAAATACACTATTTCCCTCTTTAATTTAGACTAATGAAAATGAGTTTTATTTTGGTCCTTTTTACATACTTGCAGTCAAAGAAAAATTTTCTTTTGTTAAAGTTCTAAAGTAATTTGAAATAAATCCAAGGCTATAAAATGTTGTCATAAATAAAAAATAATGAGATAAATAAAATAAAATGTTGAACAAGTGAATAAATATCCTATTATAAGATGTTCTTATATTTACCGACTTCTGTTCTTAAACAATTTTATCTACAAATCTATCTAGTAATCCATTTAATTTACTAATTACTCTATATCTGGATACAAAGATAATAACATGCATTTTTAAAAATTCTATTAAGTAAAGGACTCAAATAACAAGTATCCATATCATAATGCATAAATTAAGTCTCACAATTTCATTTATCTGTACATGTATATGTACACAAAGTACTAAAAATCATTTTATTTTATACATAAGGAAATTTACATTTAACAGAAAAGGTGTTTTAATTGATATTAAAATGAAATAAAATTTCAATGGTAAAATGACAAATAGGGTAGATTCTTCCTACTTTATTTGTAAAAATGTAGGATACTAAAGGCTATCTTTCATAAGCACTACACAGAAAATACCCAAATCAGCCAGGTACCAGTGGCACACCTGTAAACCTAGCTACTCAGGAGGCTAAGATCTGAGGCTCACAGTTCAAAGCCAGCCCAGTCAGGAAAGTCCATGAGACTCTCTAACTAACCACCAGAAAACCTGAAGTAGAATTGTGGTTCAAGTGGTACAGCACTTGCCTTGAACTGAAGAGCTCAGGGACAGCGCCCAGGCCCAGAGTTCAAGTCCCGTGACCAACAACAACAACAAAAAAGAATAAAAATAAAATACCACAAATCACCTCATTATTAATGATGATTTTTAATCAAAGTATTTCACATATTAACAAATTAGATATTAACAACTGAAAATATTTTCACTTTAGAGAAAAACCTGTATTCATGCCTGTACATTAAAAAGAATAAAAATCTATCATACTTATCAATAACAAAATCTAATAACCTAAGTAAAAAAACAAAAATTAGGAATTAATTTAGACAGTTGATAATATTACATTTCAATATTCTCCTTCCTTTACTGAATTGACTTCACAGAGTTAGTACAAATGAAAGTTAATTTTCACTTACTAAAATGAAACCTAGATATTAATTAAATTTCCTTAGGAACTTATATTAAGTCTATGTGAGATCTATATTTTGGACTGAATATCTTAAGACAGTAGATTAAATTTAAAACAATGAGCAATTTTATAATTACTGTAATATCTGCATATGTCAGAAGAAATCAAATTTCATACATCATGGTATCAGATAATAGCATAAGAAATCCCTATTGTTTTTTCTAAAGTATTGATTATAGAGGAATGTGGGATTTGTGTTGTCATTCCTTTGAAGTTTAGATGATCTTAAGATGCAGGATGACAAGTCTGATAAATTTCTGATATTAACAATAACCATTGGTTAATAAATGTTAATAACCTCTTTCTTTAGCAAGCCATTTCTTCTGTATTTGAATAGTGACTTTGACAATCATATGTCTTTATTTTCAAATAATCACTGTCTATAATGAAAACATTCCTATCATCTCCCCCCCAAGTCTTCTCTAATGTAGCACTGGCTTAGCATAAAGAGACATGTTTCACTTACAAGATTTTGTACTTCTAAGGAGGTTTAGGGACTCTGAAAATGTTGAAAATATAGTGTTAGTCAATTTTTATATCATTATGAGAGTCAGAAAGTAAATATTACCTCATCACTGAAAAGTAGAAAATAATGAAACAGTAAATTTGCTTACCATGGACTAAATACTGAAGTAAGGATGCGTTACAACACCAATTACACACATATTCTGTCTACCCAACTTTTTACAGAGAGATTAGAGGCAGAGAAAGAAAACTTCAGGAAACAACTACAAAACTCCATCTATTTCAAGAGCCTCTGATATGGACATTCACTTCGTATATAATTGGCTGTGTGTGGTGATGCTAATGGTGCTACAACTTCAAAGAGATAATTTCCCTATACCATTTCTGAGTGACCATATACTTAGGTATAACTACAAGAACAAGCTTTATAAAATGGAATTTTATAAAGCTCCACCCAGATAAATCAATAATGGTAGACTAATACAAGAGAAGAAAATGAATAAGCAGAATCAAATTTCAACTGAAAATGAATTTTGTAGCTGAAAATTCTAATCTATTCTTAAAAGATAATAAAAAATAAAGCAAGTCTTTATGGGTCTCAGGCTCTCCAAAGAGTAATATTTGCTCTTTACAGGTGTATTCTCTCTTTTGTTTTGATTTCTGTTTTTCATTTAAAACTCTGGGGAAAAGATCATGTTTTTCTTCAGATTCTCATAAGATTCATTTTAGCAATTTGTTTTTTTAGTAGGAATACTTTGGCAAATGGTTGTTGCAAACTATTTTGTCCCTCTTCTTTATCTAGTTTCCTTGTACCATACTAATTGATTTATCTTCGTTATCATAGAAAAATATTACATTCATTTTTAGACCAAGAATACTAATAATTGAATTAATCTTAATTTGAAAAATCAAAATTACTTGCAGAATTTTAGATCCCTCTCAGTGTATGTGTGCCAGTCCTAGGGCTCGAACTCAAGGCCTGGGCACTGTCCCTGAGTTGTTTCTATTTGTTGTTTGTTGTTTTGCTCTGTGCTAGTATATTACTACTTGAGCCACAGCTCTACTTTCAGCTCTTTTGGTGGTAACAGGGATAAGATTCTCATGGATTTTCATGCCCAGGCTAGCTTCAAACCACAATCCTCAAATCGCAGCCTTCTGAGTAGCTTGGATTACAGGTGTGAGCCCCCAGTGTCAGGACTCAAGTAAATATTTATCTTCTTCAATTACTTGCTTTTTTAATACCTGAGAAAATATAAATGATTCTATGTAAGGGTCATAAGTTTCTTGTATTGTACTGATTTGGCCAAGTCAGGACAAAGTGTCTCTCTTACAAATTTTGCATGTTTACACTTCTGGCTTAAACCAGGCACTGGTGGCTCAAACCTATAATCCTAGCTATCAGGAGGCTGAGATCTGAGGATCATGGTTCAAAGCCAGCCTGGACAGGAAAGTCCATGAGACTCTTATCTCCAATTAACCACCAGAAAACCAGAAGTGACATTGTGGCTCAAGTGGTAGAGCACATGCCTTGAATTGAAGAGCTCAGGGACAGCACCCAGGCCCAGAGTTCAAGCCCCACAACTGGCAAAAGATAAAATTAATTAATTAATTAAAAACTTCTAGGTTTTTCTTTAATAGGATGAATCCCAAATACCTTCAGTATTTTTAGTATTACTAGTAAAACTTCCTTTTGATAAAAGTAAGAAAGAATATATTAAATCTTTTCATAAAATACTTTGTTTCACAGATTTGGGGCTTTTTGTTTTGCTTGTCCTATTCTCTTAGAAAGGTATGGTCAATGTAACTGTTTCTAATTATGTATTTTAATATGGAAACCCTGGACTGTTCCCTATAAGCTTTAAAGAATAATCTACACTTACCTGGTCCCTCCGTTGTTTTTTCTTGGTATCGAGGAGTTCCACTAAGAAAGGAGGACTGTTTTTTTTCAGCTATACTGCTTCGAGGTGGCATGTATTTACGCTTCATTTGTGACATCTCATATGATTTATGAACTTCATAAGTTCCAGGGGCTGGTAAAACCTAGAAAAAATGTTAGCAGATAAGTATAAATATACTATACTTGAAAAATATCCAAGTAGATATTGCATAGACATTCACACTCAACATTATAAGTAGAAAAAAAACAAAAGCCTTTCATTAATTATCATAATAAAAATTTTAATGAAGATCACCCAACTCCACATTCTTGTGAGGAAAAACATAACTTCACTTGTCAAAAGTCAAAAATTAACAGAATTATGAAATCCAGGACCAAATTCTTTATTTTAAAAAAATTTTACTATGCTAAGCCCTGGTGAATGACAGCTCATGCCTATAACCCCAGCTACTCAGGAGGCTGAGATCTGAGGATCAAGATTCCAAGCCACCCCAGGCAGATAAATATATGAGACTCTTATCTCCAATTGACTAACAAAAAGCTGGAAATGGAAGTATTGTTCACATAGAAGAGCATCTGCTATAAGAAAAACACAATGCAAGTTCTTGAGTTAAGCCCCACTACAAGCATTTAAAGAAAACAGATTTCATAATATAGAGAGCAAATATTTCACATTCAAGTTAAATAATGAAAATGGCATTTCTTACAGTAATGAGAACAGCAATTATTTTCTTCATCATAAGCAACAAACTACTCTTGCTTTTCTGTTCTAGGATAGCATTATTTATTCTACAAAATGGTTGTTTCATTTTAATAAGTTCCAATTAAATTAAAAGTCTTCTCTTTTCATCACTTATAGTCATTATATGGTCTCCAATTATTTATATTTTAATCAACAAGAATCAGTATGGATATTAAGTATAATAAAAATTCTCAATTAAATACAATGCTACATATTTATTACACAGTTAATGTCTTCAACCATTAGCTACTTATCTCAATCTTTAGTCAATTATCTCAATGAAAATTTTGTTTTTTCTCATTATTTTGAAAGTTGTTCACCTATATTATGTATAATGACCAAACTGTATAAATTTTAATGATTTCATTGTAGACTGGAAAATTTTATGGCTTACTATGCATTACAAATATCTGCTGTAAACTAGCAAACCTTAGGCAAACTACTTAACTTTTGTAACCCTCAGTTTCTTTTGGGGGAGTAAAATCATAGTTATTATATGATAGGGTTATTATAATGATTAAAAGACTTAAAATAAGTGCCTTATTTAACTGTGCCTAATTCTACAGAACTATTAAGCAAATCTTACTATTCTAGAAAAGCTAATTTCCTTTCTTAAACTTTTCACCTTTTACTACCTATAAGTACTTGTACAAAGAAGTTCCAATTCAAAAAAAAAGAAGTTCCAATTCAATAGATCATTTTATGAATACAATGTATCTTGACTAATGTCACCCCTTCCCTTATTCTCTCATTGAGATTCCATCTCACTCTAGTAAGAATGGCCAACAAGAATCCAAACAATAACGAATGCTTGTGGGAATGTGAGAGGAAAGTAACCTTATTATACCACTGATGGGACTGTAAACTAGTGCAACCACTATGAAAGGATGTTTGGAGATTCCTCAAAAACCTGTATAGAACTACCCTGTGTCCTTAGTTATTTCTCTTTTCTTTTCTTTCCTTTTCTTTTTTAGAAAATAGTAAGAGATGGGAAAGACTTCATGCTGGCACAACAGAGAGGGAAACGGAGTTCTCAAGGGACAAATTCAATTTAAAAGATGGGTTCTGGTCACAAAGGGAAGTCTTGATTCCTGAAGTACAGAACTATGGAAGGAACTCAGAACTTTGATCCTTCAATGAATGCTGAGAGACAAATAGGAAATGTTTCCTTTTATGAAACCACCCTCTCACCCATTGTCCTACTCTATTTTCTGTTGTTATACCTGAACACCGAAGACAGATGATCTATAAGGACAGGGGAAGAAGGCTAGAGAGAATAAAGAACATTGGGACGGAAGGTGATAATCATTTGGTGAAGGCCTTCTTACAATGTCAGATGGTTAAGGGTATCCCTGCAAAGACAGAGCAAGTACATTAGAGAGAGCTGCCTCTATTAGAAAAAAATGTGCTATGAGGAGACATTGACTAATTAATCCATCAATCCATTCAGTGTCTTTCCAAAACACACACTTCCAAACAATTTTCTTCAAGAGATTTTTTAAGTCATCAAACAAGAAAAATAAATGTAAATGTTACCTTATAATGGTAAATTCTTTAAAAAGAATATGTAAACTACCTGAGTACTTCCTACGTCCTCCAAGACATCAAAACATTGTAATCTTCTATTAACTAATCTTCCATGTGAATTTTGCCTTATTAAACATTGTGCCTTATTTCATTAAAAAGGAAAAAAAGAACAAACTACCCTATGATCCATCAATACCACTCTCAGGCACTTATCCAGAAAATGCAAGTTAGATTATATAATAAAGATACTTTCACATACATGTACAATGTTGCACTATTCACCATAGACAATTTGGGGAAACAACTCAGATGCCTTAAAATGGATAAATGGATTAAGAAGCTATGATAGATGTGGAGAGAGAGAAAGAGAGATTTGAATTCTACTCAAATCATCAGAAAAAATAATTTATCGCTTATAGGGAGATGGATGGGCTTGGAAAAAACATGCTAAGTGAAGTAAGTCAGACTCAGAGGCAAATGGAGTATGGTTTCTCTCATATGTGGAAGTTAGATCTAAATTATAAACACACATGAACATACATAGGGCTACATACACATATTCACAAATTGACTAAAATTTCTTATACACAAGGGAGGACTTCAATGCTGTAACTCCTGTGAAAAACTTAATAAGTAAACAGTTTCTTAATTTAACAAAATGAATGCCAGGAGCTAAACATGCTTGAGAGGAGGACCAGATGAATGGAGAGAGGAAGGGTACACAAATACAGTCATAATATTCAAGGTACAAATGTGAAAAACAGAACCAGGTAACTTGATGAGATGGGTGGGGTTGGGATAGAATTATCTGAATTTATTTTATTTTATTTGAATGCAAATAAAAACTAGGACTAAACAATCAGTATTGGAATTAATAGGGCAGTAACTTCGAAGTTTCGATCAGAGCCAGGTGCTGGTGACTCAGACCTATAATCCCAGCTGCTCAAGTTGAGATACTCTTAACAGTTCAAAGCCAGCCTGGGCACAAAGTCCTGGAGACTATATCAAATTAACCAGCAAAATGCCAGAAGTGAAGAGAACAAGCTGTGAACAAAAAGACTGAGCAAGAGGAAAAGGCCCTGAATTTAAGCTTTGGTACCAACACACAAAGAAGAATATGAGGGGGGGGGAACCAAATGTCATAGTGGATAAGGCGACTCAGAAAGCCCAGCAGCTGCTTTTTTCTTACCTATATTGAGTGTATTTAGTGAGGGGAAGCTAAGGATAAACAATAGTGGCAGTATTTCCTGTAGATGACTTCTGTATCTTTTGGAGCTGCTTTTGTCATAAATGTGAAAGGAAAATTGAACAGAGTACAATATTCCAAATAAATCATGAGTGGCCCTGCCTAGGCTTTCTTTCAGACTTCACCCAATTAATATGTTTGGCAATGGTCACACGGGTTTTAAAATGCTTTGCAACAAAAACAAGATTATATCAGTATTTACTTTTCTTCAATAATAATTTGTTCCTATCTAGAAAAGTTTATTAACACCTTGAATTCAAATACATTAGCTAGCTCTCCCATCTTTTGTGTAAACACTACCATTGTTCATGAACATCTCTTTCTACAATGTGCTTCTGCTACCCTTAAAATTAATTCACTGCCTGTCTCCTTAATATTACTGACCTCTGCTTACTTATCTTCAGTTTATATTTTATCTGGCTAAGAGATTAATATTTTAAGTAATAATCCTGAGTTAATGATTAATAAGATTAAGATTAAACTTCTAGTAAGAAATTCAAATGATATTTATATATCATATATATATCATATGTAGGCATCTATATATTTATATAGTACATTTATATATATTTATGTACTCATGTAACTATAAATAGATAAATATTATATAAATACCTATATGCATTATCTAAATGAGCTGAAGACCATGTCAGGAAAATATACTATATATACTCTTGCCATCCCTTTATACAACACAGAAGAGGCATGAAGTGTAAATATAATAGACATTTCTCATGTCTTCTTTTTTTCTTATAACCAGTAATTTAATCCTGTTATTATGATGGGAAGTTCTACATACTATACTGCAGAATCTGGGTCTCAACACAAAAACCAAAAATATCTGATTCTCATCTTCTTGATCTCATTTTTCTTAACTAGGACACAAATCTAGGTCATGGGCTTAAATGCTAGTAGCCTTTAAGTTGGCAACTCATTACTCAAAGAAACATAGAACACTTAAAATTGCATACCACTGAGAGAACCAGCAGTGTGAGCGGGAGTGTTTCCCTCTCAGAGGTAACAGTGGGGGAAAAAACAGAACAAAGAATTATTAACTCAAGGAAAACAATGACAGCAAATGTCTATTCAAATAAAATACATGCCTCAGTGCAAAGTAAAAGTAAATCTAAGGCATATTAACATTCTTATCAGGATTTGGGATAATAGGGAAGTTCTTTAAAGATTCAAATCAAAACCAGGTGCTGCTACCTCTAATTTAAAACCAGAGCTCTAAACATAACTTTACAATTAATGTTTGTAAAATTCTTAGAATGGTGTCTGACGCATAGGAACCCTGGAGTTAGCTTTCAGCATTGTGATCATTATTATTATTGCTGTTGTTATTGTTATTGTTATGTTTGGGACTATGTGAAACCTTCAATGAAAACATACCTTTCATGTCTGAGAAGAGATACTGATCAGATATTTTAAAGAAAGGCTTATGATATGTTAAGTGCCAGACAAACAAATAGGCAAATCAAAAGTAGTGAAGGTGCTGTGAATCACAGAGTGTCCTAGGGAGTTAAAAAACATATTTACTAAAAAAACAAAAACAAAAAAAACACCTATTTACTGGTTTCATTCAACCTGAAAGGAAGATAAGTCAGTTTGTTTGTGCTTTGGCAAAA